GCATCCCCCCATCACCGCCACCCCTGTCATTGCCAGGCAGGTCAGACCAAAAACCTGTTCACTGCGGCAGGTTTTCCATAGCAAGCCAGGGCAGTGCTGGGCTCATGTCCCTCACCATGGTCCTATGTTGGCGTCTCCCACACAGGCCTCTTCCGCACCTGTGATGTGCCATGTGCTGAGGGCTTAATGCTGGGGTGAGCTCCTACTCGTCCCCATCCTCTCACAGCACCTGTGGAAAGGGGTGATGCTGGCACTGCCCCTGCATGGGTACCCTCTATGGGATGGTGGCCCAGCCCAGCCTTGTGTTTTGGAAAAAAAGCTGATCAAGGAAGAAAAAAAGAGGAAAAAAAAAGTCAAAATGAGATGCTATTGCCTGCCCATCATGATCAGCTGTGAGCCAGCCCTGGGCCAGATGCTGTTGCTGGCACAGGATTGCCAGAGGGTGCATAACATCAGCCCATATTTATCTTAACTCTTTTTGCACCTAATCAGTGTTTTTCCATTTCACCTGCTGTTACTCAATACCATTTTTTTTTCCTAACCTAACCAGGATGTTTTATTCCTTCCTATCACTGAATTACCCCCTGGAGGGAATGTCATCTTCAGAGGTGTATAAAATGCTGGCTGCCAGTAGACTCGAGGGGGCATTAAATGAAATGCCACACGCTGGAGTCAGGGACAGCTCAGCCACATTTGCTCAGTCAGTCCCTATGGCTGTTCTTACAATGGTGTTTGCTCCCTTTTGCCTGCAGGCCCCCAAGGAGACCCTGGCCAAAGCTGTGCTGGCAGAGCTGCCCCAGCAAGTCGTGCAGTACTTCAAGCACCAAAACTTGCCGCCCATCAACTCGGAGCAGGCATAGAGCTGTGCAAGGCTGCGCCCCCTGCATGTTGCCGAAGCCCGTTGGTCCTACTGGAAATGCATGTTCCACATGCTTTTAAGAGAAAAATACACCCCCCCCCCACCCCCAGAAACACTTCTTAATTGCTAAGTTCGTAAAACTCATCTCAGAGAAGCGTCCGGATTCATTTTGTACAGTCCCAACCTGAGGTGACACTGAGCAGCCCAGCCGCGCCCTCATCCCACTCTGTTGTGTCACTTTTCAGTATTGAATGTACTTTGTATCGTTTCAGTGGAACAGGATACAGTTTTTACAATCAAAACTTGCTTTTTCCAAGTAATGAAATGCTTAATATATATTGTTGCCATTCAATGAACTGGTCATTGTATAGTTCGTGTATCTGTGTTGTACATCTGTCACTCTCTACATTCATTTTTATACTGTGTACATGTTATATTTGTTATACTCAGGTTAATAAAGAAACTTGGACATTTAAAACAAGGGTCTCCTAGATGGCAAGGTCTGGGAGCACCTTACGAGGTCAGCAGTGCAGGGTGTTTGAGTCACCCTGACAAGGCAGTCCTGGTCCACAGCCGTTCACACTGCACTGAGCGGTTCTGCTCACTGTGCCCTGGGAATAGCCCAAAGCCCCCAGCAGCAACATGCTGGAAGATGCTTTACCGGAGATGGAGGTGCATATGGATGTCCAAGGGAGAGCAGCATCCCCCCCACCCCCCACCTCCCCACCTCACATTGAGAGCAGGCCTAAGGAGGACTTGGTGGGTTTGGGTGATGAGAAGCTCCCCATGACCCAGCTTCAGTGTGTGCGTGAGCCCAGATCCTCTCTGTGTGCTGGGCTGCATCCCCAGTGTGAGCAGCAGGTTAGGGAGGGGATTGTGCCCCTCCACTGCACTGTGGGGAGACCCCCCCTGCAGTCCTGTGCCCAGCTCTGAGGCAACAACACAAGAGGGACGTGGAGGTGTTGGAGTGAGTTCAGAGGAGGCCACGGAGATGCTGCGAGGGCTGGAGCAGCTCTGCTCTGGAGCCAGACTGAGAGAGCTGGGCTGGGTCAGCCTGGAGGAGAGAAGGCTCCTGAAGGGGAGACCTTAGGGCGGCTCCAGTGCCTAAAGGGGCTGCAGGAAACCTGGAGAGGGGCTTTGGACAAGGGCCTGTAGGGACAGGTCAGTGGGGAATGGCTTTAACCTGACAGAGGGGAGATTGAGATGAGCTCTTAGGCAGAAGTTCTTCCCTGTGAGGGTGCTGAGGCCCTGGCCCAGGGTGCCCAGAGAAGCTGTGGCTGCCCCATCCCTGGCAGTGTTCAAGGCCAGGTTGAACAGGGCTTGGAGTAACTTGGTCTAGCGGAAGGGTCCCTGCCTGTGGCAGGGGGTTGGAACTGGATAAGCTTTAAGGCCCCTTCCAACCCAAACCTCTCTGTGATTCTAAGATTTGGTGCCTGCCTGAGCCAAGGGCAGCGAGTTAGTGTGCACACACCATGTGTGTGGGGCAAACGTCAGTGAACCTACAACAAAGTGGCAAAGGGAGCTTCATGGTTCACTGCTGCTTTATCCCTAGACATTTTTCCAAGTCTGAGTAACAAAAGCTCCCTGCTGCCTGGGAGAAGATGGGCTGGATAATGAAATCCTGCTCTCCAGCAGCTCCCTTGGGCTGCTCATCAGCAACATGCTATCTCCAGTGCTAGCTGCTGCTTTCTTCTGTAGTTAACTAGATTAAGGGCTTTTGAAGCTGGCAGGTAGGAAGCTGAATACAGTGCAGGGATCACCAGCCTCACTCCAAACTCAGACTTCATCTCCCTTCTCCCCCTTAGCAAAAGCACTAGGGTGGGAGGTTGGCATCTGTGTGAAGCCTTCAGCTCATCTGCATGCACGTGAGCTACTAGCTGTGTTCATTGCCACTGACCACTGATAGCAAATGTGTGGCTTCCACCACTGCCACCGAGTTACCAGCACACAGGCTGCCCTATGAGCCCCACAGCTCGACCAGAGCACAGAGCCAAAGCTGGTGGTGCAGCTGCTCTGAGCACGGCACTGGTTGAGACCCTATCTCTTGGGAGAAGTGGGACTGCTCCTTGAAGTATGTGCTTTGCAAAGCCCTCTTGAATGGAAAAACCCCAATAAGCACTGCCCTTTTTCAAATGGAGAAGCAGCCTTTAAAGGGTGGCTCACTTAAAAATGATGCTGTACACACAGTTCAGCTTCCATATTGGAGTCTGTGGCCCTGGAAGGAAATGTGGGGGTTTTTTTTCTTTCCACAGGAGAACCTCCCATGCAGCTCTTCTGCTAGTAGAGTGTACCTTTCCCCCCCCCCCCCACCTCTGTGAAGCTTTAACAGCTAGCACAGACAACATGCCATTTACAAAGCTACCCCTGGGGAGGGGGTGAAGGACACACTATGCAGTCATGGGTATTCCTAAATCATAAAGAAATCCACCACCGACTGCTGGCTTTGCTGGAGCCAGCTCTTCTCCAGCACATCAGCCCTGGGGCAAGGTTACTGCCACAGCTGCTGATATATCCTCTACCCCTTGCACTCCTCATGCCCCAGCGTGCCTCTCAGTGCCCTTTTTTATCAGATGACTTCTGACTGCAAGAAGTCAAATGGGACAAACTGACAGAGTAAGGAGCTGTGCCAGGTCTGCAGTTTGTTGACACAGGCCAGGCCATGAGAACAGCAGAGGTGGCTCACCCAAAGGTTTGTCTGAGTTCCCCAAATTCCTTATTCCTGTTTCTAGGGGAACAAGAGGAAAACAGAGGGCTCCCACACCTGCTTTTACTGAAGTACATCTCCTCCTGGCTTTGCACAGTCCAACATCCCCTCCTGATCTCACCTGCAGTCCCTGTGGACCACCATCATGACATCTGCTGCAACTGACTGGCAGTTCCCCTGAAGAAGACATCCGAATCAGCCCTTTTCATAGCAGCTGTGTGAAATACCAGGAAAATGACCTCAGCATGTTCACAGCCAGGCCAGGCTGTTCCAACTCTCTCAATAGAGATTGTTGATACAGCTTAATAATGCCAGGGAGACACCTTCACCTCTCACACCAACTGCTCAAGGCTCCTACAAGTTCAATTTTCAAGAAAAACAAGCATTTTTTGGTGCATCCTTTCCATTCCACTCCATAGCTAAATATGACGAAAATCATCGAAACCAATAGATAAGGGACGCAGCAAGAGCTCTAGCTGTTTTCCAATTGAAGGTGCCACAATTACAGTAGCTACAGAAGAGGCAGGAGCAACTGGAGCAAATACAAGAGGTGCTGGGCAACCCAGAACAGGGGAGAAATTGGTGTTTTAAGGAACTGATTGTGGAGCAGTGCTGTCAAATAAAAAGGGTGCTTGGCTAAGGATAGCTTCACTGTGAGAGTAACTCCCCTTGTTTCCTCTGGGGAATTTCAGCACTCAAGCAAAGATGTGAATCCAACTAAAGGCCTTCAGCTTTCCCTTCTTTTATCCCAGCTGCTCTTACCAGTTGCTCAGCGTCACACTCAAGATAACTGCTCAGTAGTATGCACCCATTGGCTGTCTTCTCAGCATCATATACACTGAGTGTGGTACCAAGAGCATGACTTCTGTGAGGGAGACTTGTCACAAAGGCATTTTCACCTCCAAGTGGCTCAGCTGAGCTGTTCCAACCCACCAACTTCCCATCCAAGCTGTTTGCATACAGAGATGAAAAGGATGGGCCCTCAGCTTCCACAGCCAGTACTTCTCACTCGCGCCTGGCTTCTTGGTCCACAGCACCCAGAAACATGCCTAAGTAAGGTTTCTTAAATCCAAAACAAACTCAAAACCCACCAACTGCAAAGGAATGTGGAGCTCCCCAGCTTCTGCACAAAGAGATTTGGCTGCAGTGGGGAATCACACCCACTCTGGATTCATGCTCGTCAGGACACTGCTGCAGAAAAGCTGATCGACTTGTCAAATGCAGGTGCAGGAGCAATGGCCTTGGAGCAGAACAGCCAACTGCAGCTCCTGCCAGTTCACTCAGAACAAGAGCTTCCCCTCACCCTCTGCATTCATATGAGGCTGGCTTGCACCTCTCCTGGAGGGTGGGTTGAGGAAGGGGCTGGCTGGGTAGTGCAGAAACTGATTAATGGAATGGGAACAATTATGAATGGCACAAGCTGAGATAAAAAAAAAATGCATTCAGAATATCTTTAATCATGTAACACAAACTTCTTTACAGTGTCATGGCAATCTACACTTCACCATCTGCTTGAATTTTGTTCTTCCCCCATTTCTCAAATACAGAACAAAACCGGCATTTTAAAGCAGAACACATGGCTCTTTCTACAAGACTTCATTGCTTCAAGTGAGTATTTTTTGCCTGTTAGTCTTGTGTAAACTTCTTAGATCACCAGAACTCAATTCTTTTTGTGAAAATTTTAAAGATAAGGCTTTCTCCTCCCTACCCGCAGACCTTCACTAAGTTACTAGGTTTAGGATTGCAGCCCTTCTTACAGGCTCAGTATGCACCCCAGAAATGGAAAGGTGGTGGTGGTGGTGAAATATTATGAGTTACTTCAGGAGTAGCTGAGTGTATTAAAGTTGAGAGGTTAGCTATAAAGATTATATTTGGGGCAGAAGGATGCATCAAGCATCCATCAGGGCTTTGGAAGATACACTGCACTACATTACACACGGAAGGATTTCATTATGGACCATCAAAGAAATTGTTGCTACGGAAGACAGAAGAAACGATCTTCCCAGTGGAATTAATGGTGCCTTCACTATCTGAGCTGGACTCGGAGTCACTGCTGCCTGAGTAGGCGCCCAGGCCAGGTAGGATCCCAATGCACACAGCTGCTGAAGGACAGTGGACTGTGGAGCCTCCCACTGAGCTGCTCCCCAGGGGAACACAGGATGGTTTTTCTGAAAGAGAAGTACCTAAGTAAAAAATGAGAGTGCAGGAAAAGGGCTTATAATCAGCTTCATGTCAGTCACCTGCTACTGTCACAGCAGTGGATGACCGCGGGATTTAATCAAAGTATAAGGCAGCTTTATGTTGCAATGAAGCTATTCTGACAGGAAGAACTTGCTGCCTCAGGGGATTTTTTTATTTTTTTTTCCCCTCATCACTCATTTAAGTCCAGCTCTATGCTGGCATTACAGATTTTCATTCTAAAGTTGTCAGTTTAATGCTCGTCAAATACCAAACCCACTAAATGAGAATAAATAGCTCTGCTTTGTGTAATTGAGGATTTTTCTGTGATGTAACAGCTTAGTTGAAGAAAAAGCTTTAGTCCATCATTCTGTAGTCAACATCTCCCATCTTCCACTGCTAACTAATTATTTCCAGTGTTCTGCAAGTATACTGAACAGAGGGAGATTCAGGAAGCACCTTGGGCTGCTATTACACAATTGCAGCTCACCCTATTTGTGTCAGAGTATCTTGACAGCAGGTCAACTGCAGTCCTGACAGCTAAGACTGAAATGCAACTCAATTTTCTTCTAATTAACAGCTAGTAGTGGATATATACAAATACATCAAACACTGCTGTGAACAGGAAGGGAATGATCTGTTCGCCATGTTTCCTTTTGACAGACCAAGCATTAGGCTCAAAATGCAGACAAGGAGACTCCTATTAGCTATCAGGTAGAACTCCTTAAGGGTAATATCAGTTAAGCATTAGAATAAACTGCCTAAGGAGGATGAATAAACTCTTACCTACGGAGATTTAGGAGCAGCTTAGGCAAACACCTATCAGGAATGGTTCAGGCAGGGGATAGAATATGATGATCTGTAGAGGTTCCCTCCAGCCCTATTTTCTATCAAGGCTGCTGCCAGCACCTATAGTTACTGTTTCTTCTGCTTTAAGAGAGAACTTGCCAACTGCAGCCTGTGCTGTCTTGCATAATAAAGGACCAGACAAGCAATTCCTCTATCAGATTTAACATCAAGTCAGTTGCTGTTCAGGTGAGAGACAGCTAGCTTCCCACATGCAGAAATCAGGACATACCTTGATTCTTTTCATCATGATCAGTATCTAGTTTCAATCTCTTCACACTGTTATCACCATCTGAACTGTGGACAAAATAAAGTGTCTTGTTCCTCATAAGGTAACCATTTAATGACTGTGAAGTTAAAGTTGCATCTTTGCCTCAAATGTTATAACAAATGCCAGCGGGATCCCCTCATGACCACCACCACTTCTAACTGCTGTTAACTGGAGCTTCTCAGGGAACATGCAGGATTCTAGACAGAGCCAACACCTACACTGCAAATAGGTTAACCTGGGAAACACACACTTGGACTTTGGGAGTCAAAGTCAGACCTCTTGCACAGCAACCCACAGCTGCCTATTCAGCTGGAAGTACCTCAAAGGAGATCAAGAATGACAACCTGAGCTTCAGCCACCCCACATGCCCACAGGCTAGCTCATATGGATGACTACCACAGTTGCTGGTGCAACACCCATGTCTCTTCCCTTCCAGGGTTTCCTTCCCCTCCTTCAAGCACCTAGAAAACCTGTCCTAAAACATCTAGAAGTCTTGCACCCAGTAAGAAGCTCAGAAGGGTTTGCAGCAATTCACAATGGCAGTGTCTGACTTAAAAAAGAAAGGGGTCCTGTTGGGAAAAGGAGCGTGACTTCGACTTGGACTCTGCAGAGCTTCTATAGCTCTTTCTTGCCACTACTCAGCTTCTTTTCCCCTGCTCTTGCACGTTCCCAGTCCTAAGCCATTCACATAAACAAATGCTTCCCAGCTTCAGCTGTGATGAACTAAAGTGATGAAGCATGAGCATTCTTACGCACTAACTCTTTCCTGTCCCTGTCAGAGCATGCAGTAGAGGTGAAAAGTTTTAATAACAGTATGTCCTTTACAGGAAACTACAAAGCTTAGAGAGCAGATGTTGATCTCATGCTACACTTGGTTTTGGACAGTTTGCAATAAAAGACAACAAAACCAGAACACTGAATAGCAAGTCTGTGATGGCACTGACATGTCAGTTAAGCTGCTCTCTTCAAACAGATGCCATCTGCAGACTTCAGATGTGCCATTAAGCACATACCAGCTCCTTCTCTACATTCTACAGTATTAAGTACTAGTAGTCACAAGAAAGGAAAAAAAAAAAAAAATCCAACCCCAAAATATTATTGGCTGCTTGTTATCAGTTCAAGGCTTTTCTCTGCCTTCTGAAAACCCAAACAACTATGCAACCCCACACACTAGGTGGTGGAAGTACATACTTCAGCTTCAGACATTCAATTACTGCTATACAGGCAGCTAAACATCACCCTACAAGATAAGCTTCTGAAATAATCTCTCATTCTCTGGGACTAAAACACTGACTGAATTTTGAGATGTCAGTAATGATCTGAAGCATTACATGATTCATCTGTGGAAAATAAGCCTAGTCCCACGTGCCTAATTTCTCCATAACCTGTAGCATGACAGCAGCTGCATCTGAAGACCATGATCAAAACAGCAAACAGGTCACAAAACCAGCTGCCATCTCCCTGGTATGGAAAGGGTGTTGATGAATCTGTGCAAATCAGTGAGGAACAAGGGAAGTTTGCCTGATGTCCTCAAGATCAAATTGGTACACCAGCCTCATCTCTGTAACCTCCATCTCCCTCACAATGCCCCCAGCAGCAATTAAAACACAGATAAAATCAGCTGATACACTACACAAACCTGAATGAAATCACATGAGTGAGGTGACACTGATATCTATAAATAGAGATATAAAGTAGATTCCCTCTAGATCCCCAACCAGGATTGCCCAAGCCTGGCAGTCTAGAATGAAGAGTCTACCCACTTGCATTTACACATGCTTATCTATTTAAATTGCTTCATGTTTTTCCCACAGTTTGGGAGAGCCTACGGAAACAAGGCTGGTCTTTTCTTCTACCTCCCCCCTTTTTTCTTTAGGGCTAAGGTTCACAGCTCACTTGCTGAAGGCAGTTTTGGCCTGCCTCCCTTTACACTGCTAACTGGGTTCTGTTCCTCATGAATTTATAGAGGTGTGAAACTAACCTTCTGTGTTTCACAGCTCCTGCCAGCAGCTTTGCCTGAGAGAATTTGTTCTTGTTTTCCACTGACTTCATGGGCAACTTCTTCTCAGTTTCCTTCTTTGGGTCCATACCGACTCCCACTTTGGTGAGAGTGCTGTGAACTAAGGGTTAAGGATCATCCAGGAAAAAATGGGAGAACAGATACTTACTCTCTTGATATATTTAGCCAGCTCTGCTGACAGCAGCATTCACATATTCTATCAAAATAACCTTACTTATAATGACATTTAGCTGACACCTTCAGCCAATACAGCAGAGACTTCATCCTCTGGGTTTGGAGCTCTCTCAGTATCAATACCATCTCTCCCTGAAAAGACGTTCAGGCAGCAGATCAGGAAATGTTTTTCTGAAGGCAGAAAGGTGCAACACATGACACATCCAGCACCCATAAACGTACTCAGCATCCTCCCTTTTCCTAAAGGTCTTAGAAAAACAAAAAGGTCAGACTGGACCAATGGGGGAAAGAAGGAAAAGAAAAAAAGCAGCACAATATGGGAACACAAAATGGCAAAGGCTCTGACTGCACCACCCAAGTCTTGGAAGGCAGACGCAGGGACTGTGAGAATGAAGACCCTGGGTGCACTGTAGGAGAGGATCTGATTTGAGACCATCTTAAAAAACTGAACATGCACAAGTCCATGGGTCCTGATGAAATCCATCTGTGGGTCCTGAAGGAGCTGGCAAATGAAGCTGCTAAGCTGCTGGCCATCATATTTGAAAAATCATGGCAGTCAGGTGAAGTTCCCAACGACTGGAAAAAGGGGACTATAACCTGCATTTTCAAGAAGGGGAAAATGGATGACTCAGAGAATTACAAACCAGCCAGTCTCACCTCTGTGCCTGGCAAAATCTTGGAGCAGGTTCTCCTGGAAGGCATGCTAAGGCACATGAAAAACAACACGGTGCTTGGTGACAGCCACCATGGCTTCACTAAGGGGAAATGCTGACTGACCAATTTAGTGGCCTTCTATGATGGTGCTACAGAACTGATGGACAGGGCTAGAGCAGTTGATGTCATCTACCTGGACTTGTGTAAAATGTTCAACACTATCCCACACAACATCCTTGTCTCTAAACTGGAGAGACATCAGTTTGATGGATGGACCACTCGGTGGATAAAGAACTGGCTGGATGGCCGCACACAAAGAGTTGTGGTCAATGACTCCATGTCCAGCTGGAGACCAGTAACAAGGGGTGTCCCTCAGGGATCAGTGTTGGGACTGGTCTTGTTTAACATCTTTGTCAGTGACATGGACAGTGAGATTGAGTGCGCCCTCAGCAAGTTTGCCGATGACACCAAGCTGTGTGGTTCGGTTGATCCGCTGGAGGGAAGGAATGCCATCCAGAGGGACCTTGACACGCTTGTGAGGTGGGCTGATGCCAACCTCATGAAGTTTAACCATGCCAAGTGCAAGGTCCTACACCTGGGATGTGGTAATCCCAGGCACAGCTACAGGCTGGGCAGAGAAGAGATTCGGAGCAGCCCTGAGGAGAAGGACTTGGGGGTGTTGGTCAATGAGAAAATGAACATGAGCTGGCTTCAGTGAGCGCTTGCAGCCCAGATACCCAACCGTATCCTGGGCTGCATCAAAAGGAGTGTGACCAGCAGGTCGAAGGAGGTGATCCTGCCCCTTTACTCTGCTCTCAGGAGACCTCACCTGGAGTATTGTGTGCAGTTCTGGTGCCCTCAACATAAAAAGGACATGGAACTGTTGGACCAATTCCAGAGGAGGGCCACGAGGATGATCAGGGGACTGGAGCACCTCCCCTGTATGAAGACAGGCTGAGAAAGTTGGGGCTGTTCAGGCTGGAGAAGAGAAGGCTGCGTGGAGACCTCATAGCAGCCTTCCAGTATCTGAAGGGGGCCTATAGGGATGCTGGGGATGTACTCATCATTAGGGACTGTAGTGACAGGACAAGGGGTAATGGGTTAAAACTTAAACAGGGGAAGTTTAGATGGGATATAAGGAGGAAATTCTTTCCTGTGAGGGCGGTGAGGCACTGGAATGGGTTCCCCAGGGAGGTTGTGAATGCTCCATCCCTGGCAGTGTTCAAGGCCAGGCTGGACGAGGCCTTGGGTGATATGGTTTAGTGCAAGGTGTCCCTGCCCATGGCAGGGGTGTTGGAACTTGATGATCTTAAGGTCCTTTCCAACCCTAACTATGCTATGATTCTACGAATACTTCCCCCTTCTATGGGGATCAATACATTTGTAATTAAAGTTTGCTGCAACCTCTAAACCCTTAAAAAAAAAAAAAAAAAAAAAAAAGAAGTAGCAATATGTCGGCTCACTTTCACTCCTCCAACCCTCCTTTTGCTGAGTCCAGCAGACATCAGCCTGCCACAGCAAAACAGTTCAACTTTCTCACTGAGCTTTAACTTTTTCCTTTTAACTCTGCAGTGCGTCTAAGGGCCACAGGGCCACTACTGCCACTTTGAATATCAAACCCAAGAGGAAGGAGGCACATCTGACTATAGGTGCATAGGGCTCAAAACTCACCCAAAAAGACTGTGACAGCACAGAAAATCTTATGTCACGTAAACCAGTGTTAGAATGGTGGGACAGCTGAAACCTACAATGAGGTGGAGAAGCTTAAGCAGGTTCTCAGACAGGATAAGGAGGAGCTTGATCTGTTATTAAGGTGCACTCACACTGCACACATACCGAACAGGTCTCCCATGCAGGACCTAGTCCCATCCCTGACAACTGTTCATGTCCAACTACTCCTGATGAAGCAATATCCTGTTCGTTAATGAGGTGCCAGAGGAGTTACAAAAGCTTCTGCAAAACTTTTAAACTGCACACATAGCAAAAGCAAATCAAACCAGTTTAAAAGTGCATTTGTTTATAATCCTAAATCTAACCTGACTGCAATTCTACTGATCACAAGACATCACCACAAGCTGGTGTTTCACAGGTGCCCCAGTTACTGCAGACAAATTGGACAGTGAATTTCACATCAATGGACCATATATTTGAAGTCAATTTTTTTCCTGACTGAACTTCTGCAAATCAAAACCCCCTTACAACTTACTTTGAAGTGACACACTCAAAATCTCCGATCACTTTACAATTAAGAGCATTCAGACGCCATTCCTTATTGAATTTTCCTAAGGATACAGCAGTAACCTAGACTGCTCCCTATCTCAACCGAAAGCTGCCTCAGCCAAAGCCCCTGCTCAGATTTATTTTAGCTGGCGCAGGAGTGCCATCCCGTGGCTATCAGAAGCAGTCTGAAAGCTCAGTGTGTCAAACATGGTTTGATGTTGCAAATACATGATTCCACATATCAGTGATCAGCTTCCACGTGTCTGTTCATTACCTTGCTGTATTCTAACACTGCAGTACAAAAGCCAGGCTGAAGAACCCAACGACTTTTCTTTCCTATGATACCAAACTACAGGGTTTCCACTTCCATCCAGGAAGTGTTCTCCTGACACTCCTCAACTACCAGAGTCAGCACCATGCATTTTTAACAGAGATCTTCTATGTGCTGCTGACATTAGCAAATGTAACACTAGACAAGAAGCATTCCCTCTCAGGTAGTCTGTATTAGAAATAAACCTCCTGATCTTAAATATAAGTGCAATTAAAAAGCTGTCCTACAGTGGAGCCTGCTTCTTGGGAGTGGGACTTTTCCTACATTTGCACAGGATTTAAAATAAGAGAATGCTGTTCTCGAGCACTTCTTGGAAATGGCTTAAAAAATAAAAATTAAAAAAAAATCTGTAAATCTTTAAGCACTGTCAAACCAGTGGGGTCTGGATAGGGCAGGAAGTAAAAAACTGTAGTTGTTCATATAGTAGAAGTAAAATTCCTATGCATCCATGCATATGAATTTCCAATGCTTGAGAATGCATTACAATATTCCAAGGCATGTTTATCCTTTAAAATACTAGATTTCATTTACGTAGTTTTTGTCCTGAAGTTAATGCCTCTGTGTAGCTTAAATTGGGTGCTATACCAAGCAAAAGACCAAATAATCAAACCCAGGGTGTTGACATTCTTCTTAATGGTTCTGAAGAACCAATTGGTTTGAACAGTGCCTATAGATCCAGCACATTTACCTAGCATCCACTGGTTTTTATCACTGACAAACCATTTTGCACTGATAAACCATTACTAACAACCTGAGGATATAAAAACACCTTTTCTGTTTCAAAAGCATACTACCAAAGATTTCAAAACACAGATGAGTAATTTTGCAAGTTCCCTTGAGGTTGCTTGAAATAGTATGCTTGAATTAAAAAAAAAAACAATAAAAACCACCCCAAAACAAATGGAAAGGAACAAGCAAAACTCCTCAGTTCCTCATGAGATGAGGTGACTGTAAAACATTCTCCCTATGCCCACTCCATCAGCAATAAGTTCTGCAGTTCAATTTACAGCAAGACTGCAGATACAAAGCCAAACAGTATCTCTAAGACTGCAAAGACTGATGTTAGGTGGCATGTACATCTTGAACAGGCCCTGCTCAGGAAATTCAGGGATCCATGTGTTATGTGGCTAATTCAAGACAATGTAAGATTCCCTCTGGGCTAGTATGGTTCACCTCTGATATATCTGACCTAACTAGAGGTGTCAGCTGCTTCCACAGCACAATCTTATACGGCACATCTCCACACCAGCCAGACTCGCAAGCAACAATCACCAAAACTAAATATATCCCACATGAACATCCCATCCAGCAAATCAAGAAAACATTCCAAGTCATTCAATCAACTACAGCATATTTCTCAAGTGAAAAAAATGCATGAGCACTGCCAAGTTGCAGGCAGCTTGGAGCAACCTGGCCTAGTGGAAGGTATTCCTGCCCATGGCAGGAGTTTGGAACTTTAAGGTCCCTTAGAACTCAAACCATGTTAGGATTGTAGGATCATTGCTTTTTCATAATCATAGTGCTGAGGTAACTTAGGTGGTCTTCCCAGAACACATACTCTAAGTTGTACATCATTAACAGATACAAGGTAATGCAGATCTCTGTAGCTTTGGTACTATTCAGCTTAACTTGCTGACTGCTTTTAGTTACCTCCTTGTGCCGAAAAACTCTTTCATTTATACTCAAGCATCCCAGAGAGCTTGTGCTTTGCTCCCTGATGACTTAAAAGCAATGGATTTCATCAGGAGGCAAGACACCATCAGGTTCTGCACAGATTCAGTAAACCTCAAAAACCCAACACTTAGCTTAGCACAGAAATCCTCAAATCATTCCAACCTCACCTGACTGCCATGATCAGAGAGGAAAAGCATCCTGTATTATTTTCTAGCATACTTTTTGTGAAAATTTGGCATTTACCAGGAAAGCCAAACCATCCTGCTCTTAGTACTGCCTGAAAGTCTGTATTACCCAAAGGAGCTGAGTCTCCATGGGCACGGACTTCCTAGAAGAAAGTTGGCACATCTGCACAGACATATGTAATTTCTCATCCTGCAGTTATTAGCAAGGGAGAAAGTAGCTAAGACTTCTGAAAAAAATAACAGACATTCAAACATTATTTCAAACAGGTATGTTGAAAACAGCCAATATACAGTTAAAAAAAAAACAAACAAATAAGCACATTTACTATTCAGTAAGAAGACAAAACAAAAAGATTAGAAGTAATAGGCTGATTTTCCTCTATGTTCTTTTTCTCTTTTTAGCTATGGTATTTCATGCCCTCAACAACCAGGAAAACAGAACTGAAATCCCAAACAACTTGGAGGGAGAGAAGAAAAGTACCAAAAACATGTGGGGGTTGAGGGAGAGGGAGGTTCATCAAATGTTACAGTGGGAGATCCAAGTTACCATGAAAACATTAAATGTTAAAAAGTCTATCATACTACATGTTCTCTAATGCAGTTCTACAGAAACAATGTCTATCGCAGAATAAAACTACAGCCCCATATCTTCTCCTCCTCTAGACAACCACCAGCCATTTTAATGTAAAGGATATTCTGTATTCGTTTAGTTCTTTCAGCTCTTCTTCTCTTCGTTGCTTTTCTAGTAGCTCTTGCTGCCGAGACACCTCATCAAGGAAATGCGTCTCATCTTCATCTAAGCCTCTTACCATATTTTCTGAGTGAAGGAAAAGCATGCATGTTGATAAGCCATAAAACCACTTAGGAAGCAGCTGAATTCTGCTGGATTCTGTAATTAAGGAGTAAAAATACTTCCCTGTGAATGATACTGGATGTTAACAAACTGAAACTCTTACACCTTCAAGCACGCGAACTACAACAAACTAATACAGTTTGAACACAACACTATTACTACAGAGAAAAGCAAGACACAATTCATAGGAAAGCATTAAATGCCGTTAGACTTGCTGATACAGCTAGGGAAAATCAATTGCTGCAGGTCTGGAATGCCATCTGGAACAGCTTACACAAAACAAGGAATAACCACAGTAAGCAATATCTTTATTGTTTTGGTTTTGGGCACCAAGTTTAAGGCTGTCTCCTCAGAACCTGTTCTTAAAAGCCAATCAATAACTGGAAAAAACCTCACATAAATCTCTCCATGAATCTTCCCTCAAAATAGGAAGCACATTTTCTTAGAGCAAACAATTAGTATCTTCTCTGAGATTAACATCTGTGGTTTTGGTTTTTTTAAGTAGAACCAGGATAATTCCTAACTTCGAAACAAAAATAAATTCCTTCTACGCACGCTGCCCTAAGGATAGTGCATGCTAGGTCTTTTAATTTTCTGACCTGTAAATGTTCAACGTCTTTCAATCAAATGATTTAGTTGAAAGGTAATAAAAAATCTTTTTTTAGAAAGGCCAAGGCTTGCTGTCTGTAGTCATTATTCCCTACTAAATACTGTACATTACAGTTTGCCCTCCAGGTTACCAGATATGTTATTCTGCAGTGGTTGCCTTAAAGGGAGCTGTTGGTTTACCTCTCAGTTACTCCCTCTCAGGAGTACTCGGTTTATAGGTTTCGTCACAGTACTCGGTTTATAGGTTTCCTGAACAAAAGGGAAGATGGTACGGATCTAACTGGGCAAGGGTAACAATCAATTTAGACAGTTACCAGAAGTCTTTCCCATCCAGGTTGCCAGCAGTCAGTTTCCTGGTGGCTACCTGGACAAGAATTGCTTAGTCACATCACCAACAATGACCTGGATCAAGAGTTGACTTCAGTAAACTAGAAACTCTCCAGCTGGAAAGAATCCTGTAGGTACAGTTGGAGACTTCGATGCATTCATGCTCCTATCTGTCATTTACACTTTTCACCACCAAAAATACAAATTACATTTGAGAGACAGGAAACAACTTCCATTTCTCCTTATTTTGGTTACATGATCATTCAGAAAGAAAATTTTTAAAGTTGCATCATAAAGAATGGAAAAAAATGCTTCCCTGTGAGGGTGCTGAGGCCCTGGCACAGGGTGCCCAGAGAAGCTGTGGCTGCCCCATCCCTGGCAGTGTTCAAGGCCAGGCTGGATGGGGCTTGGAGCAACCTGGTCTAGGTGGAAAGTGTCCCTGCCTGTGGTAGGGGGGTTCTACTGAATAAGCTTTAAGGTTCCTTCCAATCCAAACCAGTCTACAGTTCTATGATTATTTTTCATTTAAAATGCTGTTAACAGTCTACTAAAATTACTTTACTTTGAAAAGGAAGACATTCTTGCAACGCTGAATAACCCAGCAGAAAGAACTGCTAGTCTGTGTACCGGTTTTTATCTGCACAAAAAGTTTAGACCATAGCTAAGTTTGTCTGTTTATGCAAACACAATTCTTAAGCATTAACGTGTTTCTCCTCCCACATCCCATCATCAATTCTGACAGATCGGAATGACAGCACACCAAAATAATTTTCTACTCTTCCAAAATTCCCATGGATAGAAAAATATTTTATGAACATTTTAAGGCAAATTCAAGCATATTAGCTGACAAATTTTGTCACAAGTGGCCAAATTGGGCTGAAATCTGATAATGCAGTGGTCCACAGTTAACCCAACACTGATCTTTAGTTAGTCAGTTCCTCACACTCACCTTCTCCCAAAGAAATTTGGCTACAGGAATGATTCTAAAAGCATCTACTACAAAACAGAAAAGGCAGTCATGGTCATCAGTGTCATACTTGACAGCATCTGCAGGGGCAGAGAGCATTACCTAACAGAACTCAGATCATCCCACAGATAAAGATAAGACATGATTTTGTCGCATCAGTAGCTCCCTTTTTCCCAAAATGGTTGACTAATAATTTTTTAGTTCTCATTATCATCTTTGCACTCAGCAGCATGTATACAGGTGATTTTTCTACAAAGCCAGAAATTCAAACATCAGCAGAAATTAGGTTTATATTTCATAAGAAGAGCTAAACACCTACTTTCAGAATAATCAACTCCTGCATGTTTACTTCTTCCAAATAGTCTATTGAGCCTCAATTCACTGTTGTGTCAATCAATTATGGTTTGGAAATAAAACAGCTGCTGGAACAGGGCTTATTTTTATTGATTCAAATAGAACGGTCTTGTGTTAAAGAATGAGTTCAAGAGTCTCAAAACCATGTTACACTTCCACTCTTCCAGGGATTGGTACCAGGGGATATTTTTTTTATTTATTTAATAGTGCAAAATAAGCCAAACATTCCATGCTTACAGGAATGCAGCTTCAAAACTGCAAGCAACTTTTGAGTGTCACACCTGTGCAGTGATGTCACAGGGCCCAGGACAATGTTTTGTCTGCAAACATCTGCCCCCTCAAACAATACAAGACATCAATAATACTTTTCTGAAGCCTCTATTTATCTCTCAGAGACATTACAAGACACACAGATATGTCCCTCAGTCAGATGTTGTACACAGCTATTGCACACAATATATGCAGCTTGCTGGGTTTTGTTTCAAAATATGAACTACTGGTGCTTACTGAATTTAAACTGCTCCTCAAACTCCTGCTGCTTTTTTTCTCTTTGTTCCTGAAGTCTTTCATACAAGGAACGTGGGTCGTATGCCTCCTCTGGGCATTCTGAAAGGAAGGAATAAATCCAGAAATGAGACCGTATCTTAGGAATACTAAATCACCAACAGATCTTAGTTTCTTCATTTAGAAACCTTCTGAAATTGCAGAACACAAACTATTACCTTTTATTTCTGTTTTCCATGAAAGCAAAATATTCTCAGATCACCTTCCCATAATTAAAATCTATCCTGTACCTTCTGGATCCCCAGGTTTTCGGACCTTTTCCCATTCCTCTTGCCTCCTCTTCCGTCGCTCTTCTAGCTCCGATTCAGACACAAACCTCTTGTTAATCACAAGGTCAGCAGTACCATCTGCCCCATCCATTATGGAACAGCCTGTCCTAAAAAAACAGTACAAAAGACATCAGAGGCTTGTTTTCACTTGTCAGTGAACAACACATTATTACACATCCTGAAAAACAGACCTGCAGCACTTACAACTATTTCAGTTCTCAAAAGACCACCACACAGTAAGCACTGATTAAGATACCTACTCACTGCATAACTGCAATAGCACCACCTGTTACTCCTTCTTTACTCTTTTTCCTAATTATGTCTCAGGCTGCTTTCCTAAAAATCGTATTTTAATGGAATTTTCCTCACTCCACTTCTGATTTACCTCACTTAAATAAATATATATATACATAAAAATCCCCCTAAAACGTTAAAACCCACCCCTACACTCAAAACCTTTCATTTCAGTTCTTGCACCTTTCTGTTCTGGAGAAAGGATTTGGCACTTTGCCCTCACTTTTCCTAAGTTCTTTTCACCTACTGAGAAAGCTGGCCTGTTTCCAGTGTCTGGGATACATGTACGGGATACAAGTGGTTAACACTGAGATCTCAGAAGTTAGCAACCAATCTCTCTAACCTTCAAAAGCATGCTGCACCTCTTTGCAGCTCTGGGGTAAGCTAGGCTTGGACAGATGATGCTGGGGGCTGTCTGTCAGGGTTACACAGAGCTTGAAGTAAGTGAAAGAGGGAACACCGTTGGTCTAAAACGGGCTGGAAATAGAAAACAGGAGCAGCCCTTGTGACCAAGTGAACACAGCTCTTTCTCTCTGCTTCAGCAGATCCTAGTACTGAGTACTGGACAGGTCCCTTTTCAGTACTTAGCACAGGGTGGAGATGTTCCAAAGAGTCATCCTAAGAAGGAAACTCAAGGTCTTGACAGCTGTAAGCCCAGGATGAAACAAACTGCTTCTGCCAGTCTTATGTGGCTCCTTTCAATATTTATCCTGAAAGTTCCATGCTATAGAACTGTCCTGAGTTTTGGCTGGGATAGAGTTAACTTCTCTTCCTACCAGCTGGTACAGTGCTGTGTTTGGACTTTAGCCTCAAAATAATGCTGATAACACACCAATGTTTAGTTGCTGCTCGGTAGCACCTACCCTGATCAAGGACTTTTCAGTCTCACATTCAGCCAGTGAGGAAGGGCACAAGATGCCAGGAAGGAGCAGATAGAGGACACCTGACCCAAACTAGCCAAAGGGGTATTCCATACCACAGCACATCATGTCCAGTATATAAACTGGGGGGAGTCACCTGGAAGGGACTAATCGCTGCTTGGGCCCAGCTAGGTATCAGTCAGTGGGTGCTGAGCAATTGTATTGGGCATCATTTGGGTTTCTTGGGTTTTACTCCTCTTATTCCCCCCTCCACCCTTACTATATTTTACTTTATATCAATTATTAAACTGTTCTTATATCAACCCCCAGGTTTTACCTTTTTCCAGTTCTCCTCCCCAGCCCACTGGGGTGTGGGCAGGGAGTAAGAGTCAGTGAGCAGCCTTGTGGTACTTGGGTGCCAGCTGGGGTTAAGCCATGACAAGAATGGAGCATTAATGCCTATTTTTGCTTCTTACCCCAAGCCTGTATAGGCAAGTACAAGGTAAACACAACCTAAAGCTGTTCATTTAAAGTCACGGTAATGTCATTTTCTTCTAGTTACTTATTTCCTTGTTATAACTTCAGCAGATACCTCAAGGACTACAGACACTGCCAAGAATTATTCACTTTTGATCTCAGCTGCCTGCATTTCAGCACTGGAAGAGAACCCAAGAACACTTACTCTTCCAGAGAGGGAAGGGTGCAGTAATCCAGCTAATGGAAAGACTCAGTTTATCCCTCCTTTGTACCATAAGGAACCACTCCTGCAGGAAGCAGAGTCCCAAAGTTCTTACAAAAACTGGTACTTTTGTAAGGCATTGTTTACAATACAAATGACGAATAGACATCTCAGAAGAAATCCAGCTTAAGGCACTGGAGAAATATTTTTTATAGGAGGGTGCATTCTTAAGATGGGAATTATCAAGAGAAGACAAAAGGATCCTCTTAAATGTTAGGGAAAGGAAGGTTATGCCAAGGGCAATTTTTTTATTACTTTCTTTTGTTTCTGTTTTAATAGTTAACAAAAATCCACCCAGTCCCTTTTCCAGAAAGCGCAGAACACCCACCCTTTGAGTATCATTTCTGCAGGTGGTTCAAGCTGGAAACATATACAGAAAATGAGAACTGAATCTCCCTGTAAGTCCTAATCACACATGGCCAGCTTTCCTGCCCATGTGCTGTAAAACCAAGATAACCTGGTTATCCACTTGTGTCACCTAAGCCAGTCCATTTAAAGAGGAAATAAAAGGTTCCAGTGCAATAGTGACAGAAAGTCATAAAAAAAAAAAATATGGAAAAGAAGGATTCAGCAAGAGCACAGTATCACCTGGGACTAAAGCCTTCAACAGCAAACCATCTGCCTCCTGGATCAGCCGGTTCACTTAAACATTGTATTTTAAGACACCTAAAGTGGATTAAGGTTTTGACATACTGTTAGGATGTTTTCACTGCGGTCCTGGGAACCGGTCCCTGAACAAATGCATTTCAGCAAATAACAGCTTAACTGACAACCACTTGTTAGAGCACGAAGGTGTGGGGGGAAAAAAAACAAACTTGCACTTAAGACTGTGTTCTAGCGAGCGACATCCTGTCATGGTGAATGACAAATGTCCACGTTGCACCAGTGAACTGCACCTTTTAATACTACCGGATGTTTCCAGGATCGAAACAAAACCTGTACAAACCTTGCCACTGCCAAGGCTGGAAGGCATCTGGAGCCGTTGTTGGGTAACCCTGTGCAGCTCCCGAAACCCTCCAAGCTCATTCAACAGCAGACCCGCTGCCCACCATTGCAACGCACCCGGCGGCGCTTCCTGCACCTTGCCGCACATCAAACCCGGAGCAATGTGCCGAGCTTGGAGCCATCGCAGAGCCAGGACGAGGCGTCGTTCCCACCACGGTGTACCCAGGCTGGAAGCCGCCACCGGCATCCGGCCTCGCCGCTGCCGGTACCGCTCGGACCTGGTGAGCCTCCCTGGCGCAGGCCCGGCGTGTGGTGCTGGTGCTGGAGCTTGCTCCAGCCCCCACCGCCGAGCCCCCACCTCAGCCTCCTCTTCCCACCTTCCTCCCGCCGCCACCGGCTCCGGAAGTGGCTACCCCCACGGCGCGACCCGGCCCACCGCGCTCGCAGGGCCTGGGCCCGGCCCTCTCCACCCCTGCACCAGAAGGGCCCCGCAGCCCGGGCACGGCCGGCTTCCTCGCTCTGCCCGCACAGCCCCAGCCCTACCGCAGTTCCTGCCGCGCCCTCAAGGACCCAGCCCTGCCACAGATCTCGCCGCCACCCCACGGGGTCGGGGCCGGGGCCGTCGCCCGCACGTACGTACCGAAGCCACCAACAAGTCACAGCGAAAAGCGCGGACCGACCCAGCGCGCCGCCATTGATCCCCTCTAGCAGCCCGCCCCGGCTCGCTATCTGCCGCAGGCTGCACCGCCCCTTCCGCCCGTAAGAGCCAACCGAATAAGCTCTTCTTTAAGGGTCTCTTACCCTTCGATGGCCAGTTCCCGTAGTTCCTACGGAAGGAAACGGAACACGCAGGCGACAAGTGACATCATGGCGGCTCCGCGCCCCGATTGGGTAAAGCGCTCGTGCCCGGGGTGTGGCTGGTCGCCGGGGAGACGGCGGGGGGCGGGGCTGGGCGGGGCGGGGCGGGGGCGGGCCGTGCGTCGCCTCCATCTTTCCGCTGTGCGCTGCCGCGGCACAAAGGAGCAGTGGAGTTGCGCTGGGGTGGAGCTTGTGGGTTTTTCTGTGCTCGCTAGTGCTGAGGTGAGCTGCGTGTGGGGCTGCAGTGGGGTGGGGAGAGCCGCGCTCTCGGGCGTTACCAGCGGGGTGGAATTGTTTGGCTGCCCGCTGCGGGGCTGAGGTGGAGTGGGGCGGCCAGTGGGCTGGTGCTGAGGGGAAGGGGCAGCGCTGGGTTGGGCTGTGGTTGTGGTGGGCCTGGTATGCTGGAGCCTGCCTCGGGTTAATGAGGGGAAGGCGCGGTGCTTGTCCCCACTCCGCCCTCCGCCTTCCCGCGTGTGCGGCTGCAGCTCTCGGGGCAGGGTCGTCGGGGGGGGGTGATGTTGAGGACTGCAGCCTGGTGCGAGGCAGCGGCCAGGCCTGAGGTAGCGGCTGCGCTGCGCTTCCCTCGGTCTTGGGGCAGCGTGCTGCCTCTCCGGGTCTCCCGTAACCCCCGGGAACGGCAGCCGTTGGGAAGAAGCTGCTGCACGCCGGGTTCTTCTCGTGCGGGTCGGGGAGGCCCTGGAGCCGGTGAGATCGGGGCTGAGATGCAAGCAAAAGAAAGCAGCGAAACTGGGATGAAACCGGAGTTTGCTGGAATCGGGCGCCCCGGGCACGGTGGCGTTTGGTGTTATGGCATGTGCTGAGAGCTCGTCCTGGAGCCTCAACGACTTGCAAATCACGGGCTTTGTTTTTATGTCGAGGTAAAAAGTCAGCATCGTACAACTTTGTACCACTAGCACTGTAAAAATACTGGTGCAGAGCAAGTTATGCTTTTACAGAGAAAATACGAAAATGTGGAGTGGACTACCACGTGCCGCTCTTTACCTTGTTTCTGCTTTGGGCACTGGGTTGGGCAGCGGTAACGCCAGGGTGCTGCTTTGCCCTTAGTTCACAGCTTACAAAGCAGGTCTTATGCACCGCCTGCATTGTGCTGGTATCAAAACCACACTAGAGGTATTTCGCTTTTAAGCCCTTTGATTCTGTCCTACTGATCACTGTTTCTGTCTCACGTATCTTCATTGCTTCTGTTTCTTTAATACTGCAGTTTCTCACCTTTTGTTGTGCATCAGTAGGTGTAGAGTCTTAATGTAGAGGAGCCATGAGATATTATTGAGGATGACTGTAGTCATCCTGGGTTTCATTTTCTATTATGTTATTGCAAAATCTTGCTCTGAAGCTCTTGGTATCCATCCGAGCACAGAGTTGGTTCTGTTTGCACCCTGCACTTGTCAGTGTTTCTCACTCAGGGGAACTTTGCACCATGGAAAGCATGGACAGAAGAGCTGCCTTTTCTCTTCTAAATGTATTCAGCCTTGTAGATATTGCACTGTTTTCTGGATGCTGGTGGCTTGTTTTTTCTTTTTAGTTTTGTGTCAGTGTTTTCTTCAACATACGAGATTCTTTTTCTACTTATCACTAGCTTTGCCTCATATTTTTAACTTTTCTGTTATTTGCCTCACAGTGAATACATTTGTACTGGTGTGGTTTTTTTCTCTCATGCTGGTCCTTGATTCAGTTTTTCCACCTTAAAATGTTCTGTACATGGATCAGCGGTATGAGGTTATTGTCATGTGGAGACCTGCATCCAGTTGATTTCTTCCCCCATTCTCAGGCTTAAAACTTTCACTGTTTCTCTGCTGAACTGTAGAAATCTGTTCACAGTGGATGTTGTCATCACCTATGAGCCATTGGAAATATTCGCTCACATCATGTCTCCTCTTCGACTCCAGTATTTGACTGTGGGTTTCTGCAGGACTGTGCAAAAAACCTACTTAAGTCTCATACTTTTTTAAGAATCCAGGATGCTGCTAAATGTGTTTTCCTTTTGCATTTATCCAAATGCAAAAATTGATCTCTTTGATCTAAATCTAGCCCTTTCTTCTGCAAGTGCTTTTGTATGTGTCTTTGTTCGCTGAGGAAGCCCACTCAGCAAAAGAGGCCCTCTCTCCTGCTGGCACCTGTTCCTCTGTCTCTTCTTTTAGGAGTTACTGTTATTCCTTAGTGCCCTAACTTCTGCTGTTTGTTCTTCTAGGTCTGGTTGAATATACTGTGTATTTCTCCTGGTGTGGGGTTAGTTTATTGGGTCCTTTTTTTTTCAGATGCATGAAACTCTTGTATTTACATGAACATTACTTGCTGTCTCTCCCCTTTTCATCCAAACACTCTCGAGTTTTCTGGTAACAGAAGGTGTTCAGCATGTGCTATCACCTGCCTGGGAAGCTCCTTCAGGATCTTTTACTGCAGTTTTGCATTCTGTGCAACTCTTGCCATTACTCTTGCTATTGTTGATTGTTTGTTAGCTTGGTTTCTGTTCTCTGCTTACTCTTAGATTGCTGATAGTCCCCATGCCTCCCTCAGCTTTGGTACTGGTGTGTGCTTCTGTGTAGGTGGGGTTATTGGTTTCCTTGAAGCCTGTAACTTTCCTTTTTGTTGGCCTTTACCTCCTATTTATGGAGTTTGGCTGCAGTGGTTCATGTTGGTCACTCTGGTATACTCCATGGCCTTGGAATTCAGTGATCTGTCCATGGCTCCTTTCATCTTGCTGTTAACTTTGTTCTGTGCTTTTAATAATACGTTTTTTTTTTTTCTCTCTTACAAGGGGTGTGATGGTTTTCTGCACAACTTCAGTGCTCTTCCTTGTTTTATTTTTTTTTTCAATTTCACGCTAGAGGTCTGGCTCTCTGCATGCTTCATTTGCTGTTAGTCTAAAAAATAGGCTGAAATAGATTACTTACAACATTTTGGTTCCCTCCTATAAAGTAAGACATCTTTCGTGCTCTGTCCATAAGGTGATACCAATGTCCATTTACCTCAAGCTTTTTGCTGGTTTGTGAAAATTAAGGAATAAAAGGTGGATATTTAGTGATGTAAGCTTAAGTTGGTGTTACCAGTAATTAGTGATTACTGATAAAGATGGTAGTTTGTCATGATACGCTACCTCACATTCTATTCCTTAGGCTTTGTTCAGATTTCCTTTCACATCTGTATCTCCCTAGCTGCCAACATACTGTGTTTTAAATGTCTCCTCTTGGTCTCTAAGTCACTTCAACATGTGTTTCTATCTTCATAGTGGAGCAGAGCTCATCCTATGCGCTGCTTGGTTTCCCTGTTGACACAGGAGCATCAAGCTAAAACGCTTGTCACCTTGTAGTAAGTTAAAGGCAAGCTAATGTGATAATGTTTGTCCTGTTCTGCTGCACTGTCGGCATGTTGTGTTCAGCATTTTAAACTTCTTGGTTTTGTGGTGGTGGTGTTTTTTGGTTTTCCCACTCCTGAGCTCATGATTGCTCAGTAGACTTTGAATTTATTCCTTGCTTTAATGTAGTGCAGGAGCAGGTACTGCGCTGGGATTTTGTCTTTATAATTCTAATTAGATTTGTGTCATGTTGCTGTGTTTTGTGTTTCCTTGTGTCCTACCAATTCCCAGTTTGTATGTGGGGACTGTGAAGCTGGCATGTCACAGCAGCACCTGTGCCAGCATAATCTTTACTGTATTTTCTATTATTCATTATGATGTTGAGGTCTAGTGGAAGTTAAATGGTCACGTGTGACTGATACATCGTCATCTCTCTTCAGCCCTGCTTGTAATTACTCAAAACCTTGACCTACTGTTACTGTGGCCAGACTTGTGCTTTAGAAGCACACCTCCTCCAAGGGAACTCTGTGTATTTGATAGGTTTTATCCATTCTGGAGAAGAGAAGGCTCTGGGGAGTCCATAGAGCAGCTTCCAGTGCCTAGAGGGGATACAGGAAACATGGAGAGGAGCTTTGGGCAAGGGCCTGTAAGGACAGGACAAGGGGGAATGGCTTTAACCTGTTAAAGGGAAGATTGAGATAAGACATTATGCAGAAGTTCTTCCCTGTGAGGGTGGTGAGGCACTGGCACAGGTTGCCCAGAGAAGCTGTGGCTGCCCTGTCCCTGGCAGTGTTCGAGGCCAGGTTGGGCAGGGCTTGAAGGAACCTGGTCTAGTGGAAAGTGTCCCAGCCTGTGGGGTTGGAACTGGATAAGCTTTAAGGTCCCTTCCAGGAGTCTGTGGAAATACCTGACAGTTCAAAATCTGGGGTGCCTCATTGTTAATGTATGCTTATTAATGGGGGTTCAGCTGGTCACCATAATCAGTGACAAGTAGTCCATCCTTTACCTGATACATCTCTCCCTTTGGGAGAAGATGCATGCAAAACACTTGCAACTGTAGTTACTTTTCTTCCTTTCTGAGGCTTCTTTTGCCACAGGGAACACTTTACTCTTGGTGTTAAGTTTCTGAATATCTTGTTTTGCCAGGCATGAGGAGAAGGACAAGAACTGAGGATGTTTTGGTTTGAAGTATTGGTGTAGCTTTTGGAATTGCTTTCTTCAGTGCTCATGCACAAACTGATATTAATATAGCTTTAAACACAGGTTCAAGGACAGCCAATGAACCACATGCTGGAAGCCTAGGCCACTGCTCTTGTAGACAGTGGGATGTGCTAGAAAGCGATACTGGAAAATGAAAACCCAGCGGGTATACTGATGCTCATTTTTATTTAAAAGCAGAGCTGTCTGGTGGCATGCAAAAAGCTTAGAGTTCTTCAATGCTTCAAAAAACATTCACCTAATGATGAGTGGAGAATCATGTGTGTGTGTTTGCACCCAGACACTGGTCAATGTATCAGTCCTGGAATGAAAGATTAAAGAGTATTGTAAGACCAATGGGTGAGTTGTTCTCTTTAAATTTTTACCCCTCTGGAACACTTAGTAAAGTAGTATCTAAGTGTAATTAT